TTGTTATAAATCACTGCCATTAGAATTAAACAAATTTAGTTAAATTTAGTTAAATTTTGTTGAAATAATTTATTGAGGTTTACATTATCGCCTAGTGATGTACAGCTATGATATCATAAAAATCTCTAATTCTGATAAAGGTGATAACCACATAATATTATAGTGCTGAGTGATTGTTTTTTCAATCTACGACTCACTTGCCCAATTACTGGTCAATCTATTTTAGTGCTCAGTTCTACCAGTAATGGTCAAAATTGCAAGTATTGTCATTGTGTAGAAAAACTGTCAATAAAAGGACTGTGACAATAACCTCAACTTGATTAGTAAGTTTCAAGAAGATATATCATTTAAACAGTAGGGTGGGATTGTAGAAGAAAAATTATTCACTGAGCTTTAAAGGGCGACAGTCGTCGTGCCGCATCCTGTTTGATATGGGACTCATAGTGACGTATACAACGTGTGTAAAATACATTGTTTATTTACATGAAATTCGAACACGCGCTGCGCGATGACCACTGCGCTTTAATTTTAGAATATTTAACCCTTATCTAGCCAAGTCAGATCAAAAGTATATGGACAGGTAGAATAATTGTTAATATTGCATGGATATTCAGTTAGCTTCAAATTAATGGTTTATGAAGGAAACAATAATTCTATTTTTATATTTAAATATTGACTGGGTTTCAATTCAGCACAATTAGCAATCAGCAAAGTACATTTAAGTGAAGAATACAATTAATAATTAAGTGAACCTATATATTGAATAAAGGTAAAATTAATCTGTCACAATGGTCTAATTTCTGTTGGTGCCTGAACAATCTAGCCTGTGCCAACTTCTTCAAAGTACGTTTTTCAGTATGAAAAAAAAATCATTATGTAATACAGCAATATTGTTCTTTTCCGCATCAGAATGCAATATGTTAATTTAAAATTCCCTGTCATTTGTACATGTACATGTATAAACTTGATGGCAGTAGACAGAGATTCTGGTCAAACAAATTACTGTAAAATGATTAATTTTCAGCTGATTTAGCATTTCAGGCGTATTCAGTGGGTTTTAAATTCACAGTTTTATCATTTAGATAATGTGTTCTATGCTAAATTTTGCATAATCACTGGGCTTTTATTTGGCTCATTTTCCAGTCAGTGAAATAAGCAAAATTAAAACCCAGTGAATAATTAACCCTTTTACAGTAACTAAGTACCAATATTAGTATTTAATAAACAATCAATTGACCAATTTAAGAAGTAATTTTGTACTATCGGTAGAATGATTCCTGTACATACATGTATATGGATGTAGTGTACTAATCTATGAAAAAAAAATTTATTCAGCTTGATAATCTCAGGAAATATTTTAATTAAATATTAACCTACTAAATTATTTCAGCATAATTACCAATCATTTGAATTTTTGTATTAAATTACTCAGAGAAATGAGGTTTTGTTAGCATATATGCATAATATGATCATCCTAATATTTCACCTCACCTCAGGTGTATTTATCTGGCTTGATATTACATAGATTGAAAAAACTAAAAATCTCATGAACCTTTAAAGAATTTTTTATTATGAGGAGATACTTGCATGTAATATATATTAAAGATTATTACGAGAATACCTCAAAGTATGCACGAAGACAGTACAGCTGGAATATCGTCCGACGCGCAGCGTACTGTCTAAGTGCATACTTTGAGGTATTCTCGTAGTAACCTTATTATTATTATACATCTTTTCCTTCCAAGGATACATCATGGGAATGCCGAAATCCAAAAAGTTTAGAATAGATTCATCTAGCATCTTTGTGGGGAGTCCGGTCAAACCCCGATGGCAACCATGTTTGTTTTTATTATTAGAGGATGCTTACGCACATAATCATTCCATATTTGGAATTCGCATTTCCTTATATGGTAGAATGAAAATATCGTGTAAAATACCGCAAAATTATGGCATGCTGTAACTTATGGCGTTACGGTGACAGATGTATAATAATAATTATTATTATTCTACTACATGTACATCAATGCTGAGTTCATTTTATGTATGACTTTTGTTAATTTACTATGCAGGGTGTGACATTACTTGCAATTTATTATTTTTTATTTATTCAGAGAAAAGTTTTTGAAAGCAGTATGTCTGGATTTTATGTGAATTTAATATACTGGTACCATTGTTATGCAAATTAGGTGATTACTACCTCTCAAATCTCATTCAGTAGTCATGTTCAGACTATACTAATTATGGGCCAAGATTTAAGCAAATCTCGTTTCACATATTTGCTAGATCCGTTTGCATTCATGCACATGAGGGACGGGCTAAGGAATGCCCAAGCTTACTAAGAATATACAAATCTCTTCAGTTCATTTAACTAGTTCCATGTTTGTAATACAATAACAATGCAAATTCAGAAAGTGCAGATTGCAGTAATGTTTAAGGATGTGCTTCTTTTGGATGTCATGTTTTCCTTGCGTTTTCGCAAGCCATATCCAAAGAATGAGGTAGAAAAGTTATTTTTATAACTAATTCTCATAATACAATGTACTTGCTGTGTATGTACATACATTTAAGTCAGAAATAAGGACTTGTATTTTGGGGTTTGTGCGTGAATGTGTCTGACCGTCACCAATTCTCAATAGGCGCCATTCACATTTTTTGTTTTTTTTTACCGTTGGCCGACTGGTGGACATTCAGTCTCCAAAACACCAAAAATCAACACTTCAACTGGTACATATCATTTTGTTTCATGATTTGTTTTATAAAAAAATTCCCATAAATCATCACTCTATTTGCCACACTAACTTGTATTAACACACTAAATTGTATTCAGCTCCTGAGATATATCTTTGAAAAAGAACTACCAGGGACAGTAACATAGTCAATTATTTATTTCTGTTGGCTTGAATGCATGAGATAATTTTCCTTGATATTGATATATTCCATATTGCCATGACATTTCCGTGGCAAATACAGACTGACATTTTGTAATTATGTTCTATTATTAGTTAATTAGCATATGTACAGTCATGTGATATTATTTCCAGAGAATTCTCAAATGAAACTATCCAAGAATTTCTTGTGAATTCAATTATGCACTTTGAACTATGAACTTTCACAGCAACCTTAACAAGCTGATATGTTTAATGTTAACAAATGACACAAATATTAAACATTTTTACTCACTATAGGTTGTTGCACTTGTTTTATTACGTGTGCATACATGTACATCTGCACAGTGGCTGTTTGGCAAGAACCATTTGCATCCAAAGAAAAATTAATGGTGTTGTTCGTTGCTGTAGTTATCAAATACACATGTATGTGTTAACAAAATAACTATCCGCAAGTGTCACAGCCAATCGTACACTGGTTGGCAAAAATATAATGACATCACAGTGCGATGGCCTGTACTTCTGCTGCCTTTTCAAAAATGTAACTACAATTAATACAACACCATTTATTTATCTTTTATCTATCTGTATTTTTACACTTGTCATATCTCCAATTCATTATTTGCTAAGCACTGATAGATTTTTGTATTTCTAAAAATGCAATATATATTATTATTAATTTGGACAGGTTTTATGTTTTAATGTAGCATATTGTAGTAGAACACCCCTAACAAAAAATTTTACCTGTTGAGTTGAAAATACAAGCAGAACTGAAATCAAAAACTAATATTACATTTCCTGTGAAATTTGATCAGTATTGATTGGGTTCATTCATGCCATTTTCTTTGTTTTCAGGAAATTGGCTGCTAATGTTTTCATAGTTTTGTATTGTATTTATACAAGAGTCGTTTAGAACTATTAAACAGTAGTACATGTTTGTATTAGTATCAATAACTATTGGGTTTATCAAACTTTCATTTCCACTATAGACCACCACACAAATTTTAAATCGCACATACCCTAGTTCAGGTGTCCAAATAAATTTATTTCTTTGTTTGTTTGTTTGTTTGTTTATTTATTTATTTATTTATTTTACAAAGCAACATATCTATAATACCGCTAGATTAATGACTTGTATTAAAAATATTATAATCTTAATATATATATTGTCATAATTAGGATATTTTTATAAATAAAAATCGTTGGTGGCTTTGATATTTCAAATGAATGTAAGATAGAGATGTACGTGCCACACGCAAATTGAACAATAAAAACTATAAAATTTAAAAATCAAGTGGTACATATAATTATTTCTTTGTGTTTTTCACATAATTCAATGTGTGCTACTTTAAAGTGGGGGAGTCGTCACCTGTGCATGCGTCAGATAGCCACAGTGTGTCATTGTTTACAAACAAGTGTCTACCCATGAGCCTTTGCATTTTAGCATGTGTTGTTATTGTCGCTTGGGACTAAATTTCCAAGCATGCGCAGGTAACGACCTTCTCGCTTTAATTAATATCTCAGCCAGCATCTCTGGCTGTAAAACATTATGTTGAATGCGGCCATCCTTGAGCTGAATCCAAATCACACTACCATTCGCCAACTTAAGGGGTCAAGGGTCAGCTGAACAAGTGTGACCAGAGTAATATCTTTTCTCAGGGTACATGTATCTTATCTAGGCATTTTTATTTATCTTAAATGTGCCAACATTTCTTTACGCCAACACTTCCAGCATCAATTTTTTTTCTCTGTGTCTAGATTTGTAAATTTTAATAGCTACATGACAAATAATAAGCTACATGTATACCGTATTACATATTTATTGAGATACCTTCCATTCGTACATGATATTATGTAAGGAAAACCAAAAGCAAATCAATACAATATGTATGACTTAAATGCACAACACTCACTTAAAATATTTGAAATGTGAATAAAAACACCATATATAACACACGCATTGTAGCAGAAGATTGTAGAAGAATCAGTTAATGTTTTATTGATTGTGCAAATATCTGATTCTCGACTGAGTAACTGTCAATATGAAAAAGTAAATTCCTAACGATTTTGTGTTCTCACCATTAATGTTTTTTTTTTTTCTTGTTTTTTTTACAGTTGACAAAAAAGAATTGCAGCAATGGTAAGTGATACATTTATTGTCTTTGTATGCCAAGGTATGTCTGCATGAAACAGGAATCTATAATTTCTGATTTCCAAATTGCCGACCGATGTGATGTGATTCTGTTTGCGCTTGCGTAACCCACTTAGCAACTGGCAAGGATAGGACAAAAATATAAATAATCAAAAGAACAATAAACAGACAACAGTTTTAAAAAGATAGTGATGTGAGTAGAGACTGCGCAACAGAGATAACATTTGCATACTGTAAAATACTTTATTTTCGCTTGAAATTAATTTTTGCTATTTTCGCTGAAGGAATGATTTAGTGAAAATAAAATCCAGCAAATACCTTTTTCCCTATATTTTACATTCTACTCGTCAAAAATCAGTGAAAATAAACTCCATAAAAAACACCTAAAATGTCTTTTCAGTGAAAATTATTTCCAGCTAAAATAAAGTATTTTACAGTATTTAGTCAAGAACACTGACAATGACATAATCTGGTGCTTGTTCATACTGTAGTTAAGCCAGCCTGACTTTGAGATTAAAATTAGGGCCAACTCGGATGCCCCTTTCCAGGTGTGACTTATTCACACACAAAATTTAGGCAAGCCTAAAATTGTTTTATTTTCTGATTATATTCAGACAGGCATTAATCATTTGTTGTCATGTTGCTTTGAAATCCCTAATTCACTGCTAAATAGTGTCAGTGATCTTGAATTTACTTTAAAATAGAGCCTGTTTTATTAGTCCCCGTTCGGACGCAGCCCGAAAACAGGGACTTATGTTTTGACCTCCGTGTGTCCGTGCGTGCGTGTGTGTGTGCGTCTGTGCATGCGTCTGTGCGTGCGTCCGGACCTGTATCTTAGAAATGCCTGGACCAATCAAAATCAAACTTCACACATACATCATACATGATATTATACATATGCACATCAATTTATTTCACGATCTGAGTCCAGATGGCTGAATGGCGGCCATTTTTGTGCTAAAAATCATAAAAATCATGACAAGCATTTCTCGGCTGTTTACAGATGGATTTTGTTCAAACTTGGTATATAAATTAGACATTATAGGACCTTGATGCACATCATTTTGTTTTACAATCTGATTCAAGATGGCCGACTGGCGGCCATTTTGTTTTAATTAATGTGGTTCTTGTGCCATATGTCTGACTTGCTTTCACTGATTATGTTCAAATTTTAAATATTCATTATACATCATGTCATAGATAGACAGATATATTGGTTTGATGATCCTATTCAAAATGGCCGAATGGTGGCCATTTTTGTGCTAAAAAAATCATCAAATATCAAGCATTTCTGGCATTTATAGGTGGATTTTGTTCAAACTTGGTACATATATTAGACATTACAGGTTTCTGATGCACAACATTTATTTTTCAGATCAGATTCAAAATGGCTGTCTGGCGGCCATTTTGTTTTTAATGATTGGGCTTCTAGAGCCATATCTCTTAAATGCTTTGACTGATTATATTCGAAGTTTATATATTCGTTATACATCATGTTATATATATATATATATATATATATATATATATATATATAAATATATATATATATATATATATATATATATATATACATGTATTAAAAATGGCTGATTTTGAATGCTGTTCCAGAGCAATATCTCTCAATATGCACAAGTACCTGTTTGACGATCAGATACAAATGTCAATCCTTTTAATGTTAAAAAATCATATTCCTGACATGGTTATATTCCAGCTACAATGTATATTACTATAAACAAAACTATATATCTTAAATTTGATAACTAACAGGGACTGTGCCATGCACGGCTTGTTGAAAATGACTTTTACTCAGTCAACAAAATAGTCAATGTGTAAAAGCTGTCTTGTATTTTGAGAAGGACCTCACAGAAATTGTTACCATTACAAAACCTATTGTGATTTAATAACACAGAGCTTAAATAAATACATCCCAATATACTTCACAAAAGTTGACACATTTTTTTTTTTAGAAAAATGCTGTTTTGCCAGCATTTGAGATAGATAATAGAAATTTTGAGACCTTTCTTTTTGACTTCTGTGTGCGGAGCACACAATGGGAGTCTTTGCAGGTACCCTGTCTGTATGTGTGTATGTGTGTGATGTGATATCTCAAGAACCGTATGTTGGTTTTTACTGAAACTTGGTGCATAGATGCTCTGGGCTAATGCACAGATTTAATTAGGTTTTGGTTGAAATCTATGCATATTAATTACCTAATTTGCATGATAATTAGCTAATTTATAGCTGTTACATGACTGTTCCACTGATATCTAAAGAGCCATTCATTGGATTTTGATGAAACTTGTTACATAGATGCTCTAGACTAATGTACAGATTTGATTAGTTTTGGGTAAAAATCCATCCATGCATATAGTTAACATAGTTTGCATAATGATTAGTTAATTTTTCGTCTTTTCCACTGATATCTCAGGTACTAATCATCACATTTGAATGAAACTTAAATAGATACATAGAATAATGCACAGACAGATATATGAAATATTACCTAATTTTCATAATTAATCAATTTTCAGCTTTGGATATTTAAAGTACTACTTTTCAATGAAACTTGAAACATAGATGCTCTAGAACAATTCCGACCCCTGATTAATTTTGAGTAATAATGTGTGCTTATTAATCAACTAATTTGCATAATTAGTTAATTTTTGGCTTTTACACTGATGTCATAAGTAATAATTATCCCATTTAAATGACTCTTGGTACATAGATGTTCTAGGACAATGCACAGACCTGATTTGGGTTCGAATTAGTGCATATTAATTATCTAATTTGCATAATTAGCCAATTTGGCATCCTGAAACAATATGCAGACCTAAATTTTTGCATAATAATTACTTAATTTGTATAATAATTCATTTGGTTCATTGCGATAGTTTAATGTTGATAAACATGCATATTGATTATCTATTATTAGCCCATTTCTGATATCTAAAAAAGTCAGATTTAAATTGAATTCATCACAGAGGTGCTCTGGAATTAGACTAAAAACCATGGATGAAAATTCAAATGCATTTTCTGTATGTATTATAAATTTTGATACTGTGAATCACATTGTTTTCAAGTTGTGCATCTCAAATTGCAGACAAATATTAGTTGCCAAGCTTCATATTTGAAAAGCAAATCTTAAATTTTGAATTAATTTTAATGTGTCTCTAATACTTTCATTTCAGCACACGGGAGCTCTTTCTAAGCTTTCTTTGATTCAACCTCATGTCAAAATTGGGAATATAAGACTGTACAGTCGTACATGATGGCTGTCAGGTTAATTCAACTGTAAATTAAAGAGATTACATGCTTGTAGTGAAATTCCTGATTCTCTTTTTTGTTTTTTTTGTGTTTCTTATTCTTATCCTTATCTTATTTCAGCCAAATATTATTAAACAAATTAGCTATGTTTTTGACATTGAATTGTTTTTACTATAAAATAAATCATATCAAACTGTTAATTGTTAGTTAATTGTTAATAAAATTATTTGCTAAAAATTCTCAGAAGAATCTGTATTTTCATTGCTGGTCAATTAAAAAAAAATCCTATTTTTTTGTTAGCTACACTGACATAAGGCTTAGGGTACACTGTACGTCTCTCATCATCCTCTCATGAATGATAATTCTTTATTGGAGCTGTTATTCAAATTACCGCCATATTTGGTGTGTAGGTTGCTTTAGGATGGATATTTGTTCATTTTGTGTTGATTTCTGCAAGTGTGATGGTAATAGATTTATTAAAATAGATTTTGAAAACCACTAACCAAATTAAGTTGACATACATACACATACATGCATACCTTGGGTAGACCTATCTGATATATTGATGATCATTTTATTTATGTAATTACACTGAATATTGTTTTCATTTATGGTGAAAATTATATTGCCCTTTTGACATTTACCGACCTGATTGCTGATAATTATTCTCAGATGACCTAATAATGCTATTAAATGTAGAATTTAAGTATTGTAAATATGTTTAATAAAACATTTCTATTTAATCTGTAAATGTATTAATTATTGAACTGTTTTCAATTTTGCAATTTTTGCTGATATTTAGAGTAAAATTGAATCCATGTGAATATGTAAAATAAAAATAGAACTCCTTGTTTATTAGCAAATTTTTAACTCAAAACCCAGTGAATAGGCTCAAAATAATGAACTAGTGAAATTAAATAGTATTTATAGCACTACTGCAGTTTATCGTAAGAATGAGTGGAAGTAACTATAAATTGAGTCTGTCATTAATGGTGAAACATGTATATCAGGAGGTGATTCGGTGTGAATATCTAGTGAGTTATTTAGAGCTAATTCAATTTAAAGAAAAAAAGCTAGATATTAACGTGACTTAGTTACAACAGGTGTACTGAATAACAAATAATATCCAATTAGGTTATTATTAGGCTCCGTTCGTACACAGTCCAAGATGGCCGAATTGCGGCTGTACTAATGTTTACCGGTATATTCATCAAAATCAATCATTCCGGTAATTCTGGATCTGGATCCTGGGCATGCATAGAAAGATTTTGTTCCAATTTGGTATGTACATTGAACTTTGTTTGTCAGATCGGACTAAAATGGCTGACTGCTCGCCATTTTGTTTTAGTTAATGCAGTTTTTGAGCCATATCTCTGACATTTCTTGGCTGTTCATATACCGGTAATTCTAATCAAATAGCAATTTGGTATTCCATTTTTTGAACAGAGATTTCTGCATGCGATTCGGTCTTGCAATCACAACAGAATTCACAAAACTGATTACCAGGTAGTTATTTTCAGCTGTTGCCATTGATCCCCTGATGCATATACGTGTATCTTGCAAGCACCAAAACTGATAACTGTTTTAATTATTATACTGTAGAATACTTTATTTTCGCTTGGAATTTATTTTCGCTATTTTCGCTGAAGGGATGATTCCGTGAAAATAAAATCCAGCGAATATACTTTTTTTCCTATACTTCACATTAAACTCATCAAAAA